TGGGCATTTGAGTTGGTTCCAAGTCTTTGCTCTTGTAAATAGTGCTGCAATAAACATACATGTGCATGTGTCTTTATAGTAGAATGATTTATAATCCTTTGGGCATATACCCAGTGATGGGGTTGCTGGGTCAAATGGTATTTTTGGTTCTCGATCCTTGAGGAATTGCCACAGTCTTCCACAATGGTTGAACTAATTTACACGCCCATCAACTCTTTATCCATTCATCTGCGGATGGACATTTAGGTTGCTTCTGAATCTTGGCTGCAAGAAACAGAGTGCTTCTCTTGGATATACTGATTTCCTTATTGGGGGTTATATACCTAGCAGTGGCATTGCTGGATTATATGGTAGCTCCATTTTTAGTTTTTGGAGGAAGCTCTCTACTGTTCTTCATAGTGGTTGTACTAATTTACATTCCCACCAACAGTGTATGAGGGTTCCCTTTTCTCCACATGCTCTCCGGCATTTGTTATTGCTTGTCTTTTGGATGAATGCGATTTTTAGCTGTGATGAGCTAATATCGCATTGTAGTTTGGATTTGTGTTTCTCTGATGTTCAGTGATGCTGAGCACCTTTTCGTATCTCCATTTGCCATTTGCACGTCTGCTTTCGAAGAATGTCTATTCAGATCTTTTGCCCATTTTTAAACGGATTATTAGATTTTTTTTTTCCTATTGAGTTGTTTGAGCTCCTCGTATACTTTGGTTGCTAATCTCCTTTTTCTTGCCTTATTTCTTAAATATTAAGTTAAATATTTATTGTGCAAATATTTTCTCTCATTCTGCAGTTTCTCCAACGTAATTTAAAGTCCTAAAGGAATTTGATTCGATGACCCTTCAGTATGTCATAACCTGAACTTCTTAGCTGATCTTATGGGCCTCTATGTCAGATGGTATCTAAGGATGTGTCACGTTAAAGCCTCTTGGTTGAACCTGTCTTCATCTTCACCTGCCTTTGGCCACCTGCTCCACCCAGCAGCCCCCACAGTGGCCGGCTCCACGGCAGCCATCCTGTGCGGACTTGAGTGTGCAGAACCCAGCAGGGCAGCCTCGGGCTCCAGTGCCTTGTGCTTACAGCCTCATGCCTTGTTCCTCCCCCTGGGGGCTTCCCTGTGGAAGGTGGAGGTGAGAACATTATGGGAACCTCAATGAGCAACCTGGAAGTATCTGGGAGTTAGGTCCATGTGGGGCCAGCTTTTGAATGGGAGGCAGGAACGGGCAGATAAGAGCTCTTCCTGGCTGAACTCTCCTGCGTCCTGGTTAACGCAGCTTCTTACAGGACAGTCCCCAGAGAGGGAGCAACCAGTTGTGCTTAATACCAAGCAAAGGTCAGCTTGGTGAGGCCTCCTGCCATTGGCTCTGCTGCCTTCTCTGACCTGCTTCATTCTGCTTTTTCCCTGCTCTGGCTGCCTTGGGATGATACACTTTAATGAAGAAGCGTATCCAAATCCTTTGCCTTGGGCTCTGATTTAAAAATTCCAGCTAGGATGACTTCTAACCACTGTCATTCTTCTCCCTCACGATGCTTTCCAATTTCTACATGTCTGAAATGCATGCTACAGTCTCAAAAGGCAGCACTAATAGCAGCCATGGGGGTAATTAGCCGTACTACTGAGCCAGGGGAGTTCTTTAAGAGGAGATTTGAAAGATCATAACTTGGGCAGAGGAATTTCAGAGGCAGCTGGGCTGAACTGAGAAAGTAATCATAGCTAACATTTCCTGAGAGCTTACAACGCATTTTATTTGCACGTATTATTGCTTCTACTCTTTGCAACAACCCTATTAGAGAGACCTTATTATTTTTACTGTGAAAGTAACTTGTCCAACATCAAAAGTAGAAAGTGGTGGAGGTGTGATTTGAACCCAGGCAGTCTGGCTCCAGCACACACTTTATTAGTCTTAAACACTTTGCTCATGCAAGTCAGGTGACGGGAGCTCCCGTCTCCACTATAAACTGCCCACTCTGGGACGCATCTGACTTTATACCCAACTTGTAGTGATGTGTAAAGTCTGGTGCTCAGGAGAGTGGTTTCTGGGACCAGGTTCACCAGAATTCAAAGCCAGGCTCTGGAACTTCCTGACTGCTGTAGCCTTGGCCAAGTAACTTTGTCCTGCTGAAACTCTATTTCCTCTCCTGTAAAAAGGTCGATAACAATATGGTGTGGAATGGTGAGGATTAAAACATTTAGCAAGGTGCAAGCCACAGAATATGTACCCTGTCCGCTTTATATGTTACTATTGCTATTGCACTGATTTGTTTTCGCACTGCTGATAAAGACATACTCAAGACTGGGTAACTTACAAAGAAAAAGAGGTCCAATGGACTCAGTTCCACATGGCTGGGGAGGCCTCGCGATCTTGGCAGAAGGCAAAAGGCACAACTTATGGTGGCAGACAGGAGAGAATGAGACAGGTGAAAGGGGAAACCCCTCGTCAAACCATTGGATCTCATGAGACTTACTCACTGCCATGAGAACAGTATAGAGGCAACCGCCTCCATGATTCAATTATCTCCCACCAGGTCCGTCCCACAACACATGGAAATTATGGGAGCTACCATCCAAGACGAGATTTGGGTGGGAACACAGACAAACCATAACAACTATTATTATTATATTATCAGCGAAAGGCAAAGGTTAGCGTAGATGAAGGTTTAAGGTCCCTTCTGGTCCTAAGAGCTATGAATCTGAGGATGAAAGTGATTCTGTCTCTGAAATCCCCTCTGCTGCGTTCACTCCTCACCATATAATTACATTTCCTCAAAATTCATGCTCTGTTGTTCCTCACCTTTCAACTCAGCCATTTCTCAATAAAAGTTTTAAAAAGTCAGAATTTTTTCTTTCTCTCTCTCTCCTCCCCCTGGTGTGGCCTCACCAAGGTCTAAAGCACACCCAGATCTGGCCCCTGCCTACCACCCCAGCCTCGCTCCATGCTGCTCTTCCCTTTCTACCATGTCTCACCAGGCTTTTTCCCTCTCAGCCCTCTTTCTCTGGAGTCCACTTTCATCTCTTCTTCCCGTGCTGGGGCCTCCTATTCTCTTTTAGCTTAGAGACCAGCTCCAGAGCCAGCCCCTCCGCTCTGTGCTCTGCCTCAGCATCCCATTTACCTCCTTCATGCACTTGGTACCATTTGTGACAATTTTGCCCTTTATGTCTGTCACCCTCTCCACCGTTTGTTTCTTGCAATTTTTTTTACATTCAGCTCTGGAATAAATAGGTGTCACTGATGTAGCATCTCCTATGTGCCAGACCCTGTGCTAAGATTTCACCCTGGAAAAACATCTTTATTCATCGAATACTTTTTTTTTTTTTTTTTTTTAGACGGAGTTTTGCTCTTGTTACCCAGGCTGGAGTGCAATGGCACGATCTCAGCTCACCGCAACCTCCGCCTCCTGGGTTCAAGCAATTCTCCTGCCTCAGCCTCCCGAGTAGCTGGGACTACAGGCGTGAGCCACCATGCCCAGCTAATTTTTGTATTTTTAGTAGAGACAGGGTTTCACCTTGTTGACCAGGATGGTCTCGATTTCTTGACCTCGTGATCCACCCGCCTCGGCCTCCCAAGGTGCTGAGATTATAGGCGTGAGCCACTGCGCCCGGCCTTCAAATACTTTTAAAACATATATGAGCTGCACACTGGAAAGTCCCAATACTAAGGGTCTGGAGAGCCTAGAATTGGCAGGAGAGCGGGCCATGCCCTTGGTGGGGTGAGGTGGATGGGTAGAAAGAGCACAGGGTGCTATAAGGTTTCCTCTCCCTCATTTAAACAAAGGGAATTCAGACTTTGAGAAAGAAGAAGGCTTGTCGGGGGGCAGCTCTCAAGCTGTGACCCATAAACCTCGGGGGTCCCTGAGACTTTTTCAGGACCGATCAGGGCCTCCCTTTCCCAACTGCATTATTTGTGTGAGGCTGGAGTTTTTCATACCTACAACTAGACAACCGAACAGTGTATTTGGAATGACTGAATGCAGAAGTAGACATGAGAATCGAACCTTCTATTAAATCTGATATTAAAGAGATGAGTGAAAATGTAAAATGATGACAATCATCTCAATTTTTTTGTCTTAGAAAATATAGTTATTTTTGAAGTGTGATTTTTATTATCATGGAATGGATTTTTATATTATTCTAAATGAATTAATACATACATTTAAAACATTCTGTTTTAATTTCTAATACAGTAAATATCAATAAATAACTCATATAAATAAAAGTTCTTTGGAGTCCTCAATAATTCTAGGAGTGTAAAGAGGTCCTGAGGAAAAAAAAATTAATAATTGGGAGACACAGTATCAGAATATACAGTAACTGTTCAGTAATATTGCTGGAAATTAATTAATAAGATTGTCTATTCATAATAGCAAAGACGTGGAATCAACCCAGGTGCCCATCTGTGGTGGACAGGATAAAGAAAATGTGGAATACTACACAGCCATAAAAAAGAACAAAGTCATGTCCTTTCCAGCAGCATGGATGCAGCTGGAGACCATTATGCTAAGCTAATTAACACAGAAACAGAAAACCAACCACTCATATTCCCACTTATGAGCGAGAGCTAAACACTGGGTACTCATGGACATACAGATAGGAACGATAAATGCTAGGGATCCCAAAAACGGGGAAGGAGGGAGGGGAAAGGGTTTGAAAAATTACCTATGGGGTACTATGTTCACTGCTTGGGCACCGGGGTCATTGGAAATCCAAACCTTAGCATCATGCAATATAATTGTGTAACAAACCTGCACACATACCACCTGAATCTAAATTAAAAAAAAAATTTATTAAAAAGTAGGAGTGCTGCCTCCTTTACGCCACTTGAATTATTAGGGCACATAAATCTCACACCCTATTTGCCAAGGGCATTGGTCAACTTCTCAATGCAAGTCTGTGGGACGGATGGAGAAAAATTTCCCTTCCCTCCCCTTTGATCCCGCCCCAGCTGGGTCCAGCCGCGCTGAGCCTCTGGCGCGCCCCCTGCTGCCCGCGGCCGGAGCCGTTCGCCACACCCCCGTGTTTATGTCAGCCCACGGGGGTTGCCTGTCCCTTTAATTGGCATGTACCAAGTCCTTCCAGGTCACATTTCCTCCCTGCATCCCAGTTGTTTGGAATCATTGGCCAAAAGTCCAAGAGGAAGGAACGTGGAGGTAGTGTTGTATTTTTGCGGGGAGCTCTGGGCCGACCGGGAGCGAGAAAGCGCTCGGGGGCCAAGCGCGCCATTGCGGTCCTCCCCGCCACGTGCCGTAGTCCAGTCCCAAGATGGCGGCCACCATGAAGAAGGCGGTGAGTGGGGCGCTCGGGGCGCTGGATGTTTGGGCAGCGCCGAAGCTCAGCAGTCGGGTCCCGGACGGGCATGCTGGGGGTGCTCAGCTCCAAAGCCTGGCGTGGGGCCCAAGGCCGAGGCCGAGGCCCTGAGATCACCCCGCGGCGAGGCCTGCCTGCTGGCTTCCTGAGCATTTTCCTAGGCACCTGGCCGGCCGAGGCGGGGCTTCGGGGCCGGGGCCCGGAGCCTTGGAGGGCGCAGGGTCTCCTTTTGCGGTGCCGAGGGTACCCCCGGGGAGTCTGAGGAACCTGCAGCCCCAGCCTCGCCCCTGGGGTGTGGGAAGCCGAAAGTCCCGTTGAGTGTGGTCGGCCTTGACCCGGGCGCTGCACCGGGATTATCGCATTAGCCTCACGGGTCATGGGTAGCTACTGCTAGGACCGTGTTTACGAGTGAGGAAACTGAGGCCCAGAGATGGGGAGTAACCTGCCCCAGGTTACGCAGCTCGTAAGTGGGAGAACAGGTTCCCGCATCCCCGGATTATCAGGCCCCAGAGCCCCCCTTGTCCAACCGGGAGCTGCTTGTAGCCGTCCTCGATGCCCCTGCCTCCTCCAGGCTAAAATCAGTATTTATTGAGGATGGACGATGTGCCGGGCCCAGCAGCCGGCCGTTTATCTGTATCCTCCTCTCAACTCAGCAAGTGTGTGGGTTCCTCCCCACTTTACAGGTAGGGAAACTTAGGCACAGAGCAGTTAGGACCCCCAAAGTGACTCAGCTAGTAAGAAGCAGAGCTGGAGTTCAAACTCAGGTTTGGTTTTGTTTTACGCAAACCACACCTAGGTAAGCACTAAGCAGGCTGAACTTCCATGTGGGGTTTATAATTCCTTGAATCTTCCCAGATGTGTAAAGATGGCTAGATAGAATCAAAAGAAAATTGGAGAGGGGGAAGGAAATAACGGCTGATAATTTGGGGGTCTTTACAGTTTGCTAGGTACAGCTGTAAGTTGTTTTTTTTTTTTTTTTGCGTGTATTGTTTATCTTATGCTCTTTTGGGGGAGATACTGTTTTTATCCTTATTTAACAAATGAGAAAACAGGCATGGAGCAAAACTAGCATTTAAACCACAGGCATTCTGACTTTGCTTTTTAACTGCTGTAGGGGATCTTTGATGAGAATCCCTTGGCTGGAGGGATTTGCGTTCATTCCACTTTTAAGACCACATTAGAACTTCCTTTACCTTGCCCCGATCCAGTACCACATAGTCTGTGCCATCTGTGCCTGGTATAGGGTGACCCATTGACCCCTTTTATCTGAAATTGAGGGACTGCCAAAACTGGGAAAGCCCCAGTCAACTCAGGATGAGTTGCTCACCCTACTATTCTGCCATCCAGAAAATCTTACTGAGTCCCAGAGTAGGGTCCAGGGCTACGGTGCTTCAAAAAAGCATGAAACTTTGTGAGATTCACGTCACCTTTAGTGTGTCAAATTGGGCCCGCTGGTGTTAGATACGGCCTTTAATTTCTTGGAAGATACTAGTTGTGGTTCACTCGGTTTTATAGGTGTGGAAACTGAAGTACAGAGAAGTGAAGTAAATGGTACAAGAGGCAATGGCAGAAGAATGATTTGAACCCCGGATATTGATTGCAAAATTTCTAATTACCAACCTTTTCTTTACCCCTTTCATTAATTCAGTAGAATTTATTTGAGCATGTAACATGGATGGTGTAGTCTCAGTTTTAAGTGGAGACAACTATGGATTGACCAGTGAGGAAGTTCTTCTCCCTTTATTCTTATTGCACCGAAGAATGTGTGTTCCAGGGGAGAGGCAGGCATTACTCAAATATTCACACAGAAAACTTTCTCTGATGAGAACTGTGAAGGAAAAGTACTTATGAAATGAGGGCCAAAGTGAGGTCTGTTTTGAGCTCAGAGAAGGCTTTCCTGGGAAGGTGCCATTTAAGTTGAGATCTGTGAGATTATGTAAGGAGAGGAAGGGAAAGTTGGTTAGGGAATGAGGCATTCTAGAGAGGGAGTTTCTCGTGCAAAGACTCTGAGAATGCATTTAATACAAGGAAGGCCAGATGGCAGATAATCAGGGGAAAAGAGTTTGAGCCATGATGGGAAATGAACTTATAGAGGGGTAGGTGGTGGCCAAAATATAAAGGATTTTCTATATCTTTGGAGCCTTTAAGAGTCACATGATAGATGCAGTATCCTTCTGTAGATGTTTCCATTGTTATGAACAATTCCTGATAGATTAGCTTACATGTATACTTTGCCCCTTTGCCCTCACTAGGAAAAAACACACATGTATGCCAGTGTGTGAGAGCAAAACAGGGAGAGATAGCCCTTTGAGTTTAATTAAAAGTAAATCATGTACAGTCCGTAGTACTTAACATTTGTAACACATTGTACCTCTCAACTGGTCATGACTTTTCGGGGGAGAGTGTTTAGATGAGATGATCAGTCCTCTCATCTCTAAAGTTCTGCCTTCTAAGATCTAGTTCTTGACTATAAGGAGATCTGCACTTTTATGATTTCTGTATATTATCCTACATGCAAATATTCCTCAGAGAGGCTACTTTTGACCTTTATCTAAAGAAGCCTCCTTCCCTACCCAGGCCCCAAGAACTTTCTACTACCAAGCTGTTTTGTCACCATTGAACATTACCTTGTTCATCTTGTTTTTTGCTTTCTTCCTCCACCAGGACGTATGCTTGCCATTTGTGTTCAGGAAGGTGGGGTAGTGGCTCTCTTGTCACAATACATGGCGTTTAGGAAACAATATTGTTAAATGAGTGACTCCATGGATGAAAGCTGAGTACAAATACAAAGCAAAAGTTTATATCATACAGACTTGGTAGATATGTTTTTAAAAGTAAAAATACAAGACTGAAATTGACCAGAATTGATTTCTAGGGACCCAGCTGTCAGTTCAGACTCCAAGTAATACCTAGACTTGGTGCGGGGCATTACTGAGTATGGTTCAGTTTCCTCCTCTAATCCCAGAAGATATTTATTCTCAAGAAAATAGCCCAGGGAATTTTAATTTTTACCTTGGATCTCTAGCCCGTGTATTTCTCTTTGGCTTAGCAGAACTTTCTTGTAGATCTGGATCTGTTACTTGTAATGATTTTTGATAAACAGTATTCAGGAAATAAAATGCTTAGCTATCATTTATTGAAAGCTGACTTTCTCCTAGGTATTCCTTTTATCAACCCTATAAGGAAGGAACGAGCTTCTCCATTTTGTGGATGAGAAACCTGAAGTGATTTCAAAGAATTGGGTAATTTGCCCAAGGTTCCTGTTTGCTTGGATTGGATTCTGGGCTGACTTTTTCCACCACTCTGTGTGCTGCCTCTGATACTATAGGATATGAGTTCTTCCTAGAGTTCTTGTGACTTTGAGAGTAGCTACCTCTGGTTTCCCTGAAGGCAGGAGTTACTAACCTTTTGGGGTTGTGGATCCATCCCATTGAGAATCTGATGAAAGCTAGAAGCCCTTCCAGAAGGCACATACTGTTCATGCCATTTTGCATACAGTCTCAGGGTAAATTGCCCTCTCAGTGTCCATTGACCCCACTCCCCTACCCCCCCACCCCCAGTTAAGAATTACCCACTTCTAGGCTGGGTGCAGTGGCTTATGCCATTTTTATGTCAATCTAGCATATACGTGGAAAGAGACTTAAAGGCCCGATAATTCTTAAACTTGAGCATACACTAGAATCACGGAGGGTGCTTGTTAAGGAATAAACCACTTAGGCTGGGTGCAGTGGCTTATACCTGTAATCCCAGCACTTTGGGAGGCCAGGTGGATCATGAGGTCAGAAATTCAAGACCAGCCTGGCCAAGATGGTGAAACCCCGTCTCTACTGAAAATACAAAAATTAGTCAGGCATGGTGGCGGGTGCCTGTAATCACAGCTACTCGGGAGATTGAGGTGGAGAATTGCTTGAACCTGGGAGGTGGAGATTGCAGTGAACTGAGATCGCACCTCTGCACTCCAGCCTCAAAACAAGAATTACCCACTTCTGACTAGGCATGGTGTTTCATGGCTGTAATCCCAGCACTTTGGGAGGCTGAGGCAGGTGTATCACCTGTTAGGAGTTTGAGACCAGCCTGGCTAACATGGTGAAACCCCCGCCCCCACTAAAAATACAAAAATTAGCTGGGCGTGGTGGTACGTATCTGTAATCTCAGCTACTTGGAGGCTGAGGCAGGAAAATGGCTTGAACCCAGGAGGTGGAGGTTGCAGTGAGCCGAGATTGCTCCACTGCATTTCAGCCTGGGCAACGGTAAGACTTTCTCAAAAACAAAAAACAAACAAACAAACCCACTTCTTACCAAAATGCAGCTTCAAGAAAGGTAGGAGTGATCTAGGACAGTGATCCTGAAGCAGAAGCCTCTGTTAGCCGTCAGAGGCACTGACATCTTACTTTCTGCTGTAAACAGCGGCCAATGGGCGGCGTTTTGGCCCAGTGGACTCACACATCAACGTTAGCCCTTTACCCCAGTGGGAAAATCACCATAAAGAACTGGACACCAGGGACCAAGTGTGTGCTGGTGGCTGTGGTTTGGTGGGGCTACAACAGGAAATTCCTGCTTTGGAAAGACAGAAAGCATAGCCAAATTCTCTCTACCACATTTTGGAAACTGAGTGTTTGAGTCTGATCAAGCATGATTGAGATTCAAATTCAGAAACCATATATTAGCCTCAGTTATGTGCCAGGCAGTCTTACACTGGATCCGTTCATGTGAATGGCTCTGTTGAGCCCTCACTAGGACAAATGGATCCATAAATACCTGTTAAGGTTTTCAGTATTTAAACAAAATGGCATATACTCCTCAGGCAAACAGGAACTCTTGAGAATTCTGTTTGCTTAGGGAATTGACAGTTCTCACTTTGGCAAATGACTTGTGTGCTGAGAGATATACTTTGGTTTCTTTAGTGTAGCTCGGTGTTCCCCAACTTCCATATTCATCAAAATTATGCATCTGGTTGAACACTCAAAGCTATACATAGTGTGATGTAAAGGATTTTTTTCAGGCTATCTTCTGTGTTGCTGAGGTGGTGCATAATGCATGTGAAATTGTTTATTGGAATGAGAGCCTGACAAAGGGGAGGGCTGTGTTAAATTTCGACCACTGAGCTTTGTGTTGATTGATACCGCCTTTCAACCTCTGAGAAATAAAAGTTCACAAATCTTAAGTCGATAGTCACAAGAGACCAGGTCAGGGATGGTGTGTGGATGTTGTGAGCTCATTACTGTTATTGCAAAAGAGCCCAAAACAGTTCTTCAGTAAGAACTATTTTTATACACATACACGTCTTTCCTCCTTTAAGCTAGAATCAGGTGCTCTGATTCTCATTTTATAAATGGAAGGGAAACCCTAAGGAGAGTCTGGTTTTATCCTTTTTTCTACCTTTATTTTTAAAAAAATGTATAGTACCTCCTTGAGAATCTGATGAAAGCAGACTTCTGCTGCCTCTTCCAAATGTGCCTAAGCCTGTGTGCACACTCACACACATACACGCTCACACAGGCGCACGTTCACACTCACTTTCCCAGAACTCATGGACCTGTCTGACCTCTGCAGCCAGTCTGCCCGGGTTGAAACCAAGCTCCACCACCTACTGACTGTGTGGCTTTGGGCATGTTATATAAAGTTTGCCTCAGTTTCTCAATCTGTAAAATAGTACTGGTGAGCCTCCTTACTAGGCTGAATTGGAGGATTAGCAGAGATGAGAAAGTCCTTAGGAAGTTTTGGCACACAGTAAACTCTCAATCAATGTTAGCTATTTTTTTCAAATTTCATGGGTATTATGTTATCCAAGTACTCTTTATTTGTAAATTTGTAAATTTAATCATATTAGATATTAATTTTTAAATACTAAACATTGAATTTTTATCGTGTTTTAGTGAAGTAAACCTTATTAAGACATTTAAATAGGTCCTACATCATTAACATAATTTTTGCTATGAATGAAATGTAGCTACTGAAATATACAGTGACCCTTTAGCCAGTATCTCGTTTGTTTTAAATACCATAGAAACCATCAGATTTTTATTACCACACTAAGCTCATGCAAGTTTTGGCTTTAGGCAAAAAACAAACAAACACTACTATGAGGCATTTACCAATGTATTTGACACATAACTTTTTTTTCCTGGGTTATCTTAGTAGAAGAATGCTCCAACTCGAGAAATTCTGCTCGGCCAAAAGTTGGCTTTCTTCTTTTCTTTTTAAAGAACTTATTAATTGTTCTTTATATTTGCAATATTCTTATAGCATAGGAATTATTTTATACAGTATCAGAAAAGGTTATAGATTTATGTACAAACCTTAAGCTTGTGGAGCAAAAAATAAGGCATTTATTATGTTCTGTAAGAATTTTCTTGTGATTCTTGACTATATGAGTGCACATAATTTATTGAGTTATTGTTGAGAATTATAAAAAGCCAATTGACAACCTCTCCATTAAAATTTTACAAAAACTTAAAAACTTTTTTCAGGCTGCAGAAGATGTCAATGTTACTTTCGAAGATCAACAAAAGATAAACAAATTTGCACGGAATACAAGTAGAATCACAGAGCTGAAGGAAGAAATAGAAGTAAAAAAGGTATTGAAAATAATTATCAGAAGAATAAAAAATTTTTATACTGTAGCTACTTAAAACTGAACTCAGTTAACAAGTATATTTCTATGGGCTGTTTGTTGCAGATGATGCAGTCCACTCTGGTTAAGTAGAAAGTCTTTTTTTTTTTTTTTTTTTTTTTTTTTTTAAGGGATACGAAATAACTTATTGTTGAGGTGCTTGAGTCTAGACTGAGGTTCCAGGAACAAGTCTTGGAGTACTTGGCTGGCGATGGAATAGCTGTTGCCTCTACTGATCCCAGAGTCAGCTGTCTTCCCAATGAGGAAGCCACCCTTGCAGACCTAGGAACACCAAGCTACTGCTGCCACTGCCACCTACCCCTGTAAATCTGGGGCCTGTGTCCAGCCTGTCTCCCTTGAATTGAAATCCAGCTCAAGTGTATTTGATTGGTGGAATTTATTATCACTTACACATGCTGGCAGAGCCTTGTGATTTACTTACACCCTATCAGCAAGCAAGGCTGAGAAATGTATGTTGGTTTTTTGGTTTGGTTTTTGTAGGAAGGCAGAATTCACAAAGTTGAAAATTGTTAAAATAGAAGAAATTTTGAGTGACCGTGGGTGCCTGCTGTCCACTAAAGGGTGCTTGTAGCAATCTGAAAATGTCCAGAGGACAATGTGTTAGCTCTAACTGCTTGCCTGTGAAGTGTCATCTAAAACGTTACAAATTAGTCTTATTCTAATGTGGTAATACCTTTGTGAGGGGGCCCCTCAGAGAGTTGCTGTCTCCAGGTTACAATTGGCCTTCAGCTTCTATCAGAGAATTTTGAATACATTTTTCTATGCCATTTTGCATTTATAGAAACAACTCCAAAACCTAGAAGATGCTTGTGATGACATCATGCTTGCAGATGATGACTGCTTAATGATACCTTATCAAATTGGTGATGTTTTCATTAGCCATTCTCAAGAAGAAACACAAGAAATGTTAGAAGAAGCAAAGGTATGTTCAAAGTTAATTCTGAAATTAGAATTTATATAAAGAACATGTAATTGTAGGTGTAGGGACATCCTGGATGCCAACTATAGTTAACATTTACTGCCTTGTTATACAGCATCCCACACATGCTGTGATGCTTTGCTAGCAGGATCTTATTGAATCCTAACAATGACCTGTTAATCACCATTTAGGGACAAAGAATAGAGGCTTAGAGATGTTACGGGATTTATTCAGTGTGACACATAGACAGTGCTCTTCTGACTCCAGAACCTTGCTCAAAACTAAAACTATGTAGAAAGCATAGCATATATCGAAGCAGAAAAGAAAAATCCTCTGTAATGCTACTACCCAGAGGTGACATTTTCATGTATTTCTTTTATGTTCTTTCTGACTCTCTCCAAAAAGTAGTTTGTTTCCCAGCTTGGACAGTTAATGTTCTAGGAGGAGCATTTTTGCTTGTTTTGTTTACTGTTTATTTGTACAGCAGGTACTCATTGGGAGCCTGCTCTGGGCCAGGCACACAGGCCTTTTAAAAACATCATTTTTGATTACTGTTTAATATCATGTTGATGGATATCAACTGGGGCCGTGAATCTTGTTAGCATTAATTTGTTTCCAATATTTTGCTGTGGTAATGTTACAGTGAGCATTCTTCTACATATATCTTTTGTTGACATTTAGGAAATTGTTTTGAGGAAATAATTAGAGAAGTATGTAATGACTGGGTCAGCATATGAGTTCTCCGATAATATCTGAGACATTTGATACATGGTATGAAAATTTTCAATTCACATGCCTTCTAACTATATGAGAGGGATGGTCACATTGCCTATGAAAGCTGATGGCAATTAAACCTTTGCTAATGCTTTTGCTAAAAACTTGATTGCTTAAAATGATAGTCTCTCTTCTTCAAATGTCATAAAAAGCAAAACTTCCTATGAATGAAACCCACATTTAGTAAATCTTGGGAAGAACTATCATTTACTCCTATGTCTCCATGCAGAAATGTTATAAGTTTCCCTTATGTTTAAATCTTTTCTTCTTAGTCAAATTTTGTGATTTTGTTCTTTTTATTTAACCATTTAAAAAATATTTTTACTGAAAGCATTCCAAAATAGTTTATGGTCTTTGTGGCTATTGTGAGTCCCCTGCCCCATACACAGATAGATACTGAACCTTTATTTTTTTACTCATTCATTCCTTCTGGAATGAATGAATTGAATACTTACTCTGTATCAGGTTCTGCCATGTACTAGGGATCACTGGGGACAACAAAACCTGCCTGGGCCCCACCTGCATGGAGCATATAGTCTAGATGGAAAGAGAAAAGTAAACAAAACTGATAATGAGTAGAAAGTGGTATAAGGATAGAGGTGGCTTTAAGAACATAGGAAGAGGAGTCTATTCTAGTCTGGACATCAAGGCCTCCCAGGGAAAGTGATGAGAGAACAGCCGAGGAATAAGTGGCTGTCAGCCAGACAGGGGTGGAGGGTGTCCTAGTCCTGAGAAGCAGCGTGTGTAAATGGCCATAGGATGATGATGGTGCAAATGTGAAACTGCAAGAAGATGTATTTGCTGGAGATTTGGGAGCACCTGAAATTGTGGCCACATCTTGGAGAACTCTAGTCAGTTGAGTGGAATAAATTGCCCTTTATCTTAGCGCAGGGGTCAGCAAACTTTGTGTGAAGGGCCAGAAGTAAATATATTAGGTTTTGTGGGCTGCACAGTCTCTGCCATAATTACTGTGAAAGCAAGATGAGTGAATCTGTAGGGCTGTGTTCCAATAAAACTTGACAAAAACAAGCTTCAGGCTAGATTTGGTCTGAAGAACCTAGTACAGAGTTTGCCCACCGCTGTCCCAGAGCAAAGAGGAGCCTTCAGAGATTTTTGGAAAAGAGAGTTATGACTGGACTTGTGATATTAAAATAACTTTCTAGTGTCTTCTTTTGCTTATTAACTAGGTTTTCTGAGTATAGACATTTAGAATTTATCTCCTTTCTAGTAGCCACATGTCTTATTTCTGTTTCTTGTTTTGTGACAGTGATTCTCAAACTTGTAGCATGCATCAAAATCACAGTTGCCTACAGGTCTTGTTAAGAATTCAGAGTGCTGGGCTCAACCCAAAGAAGCTCTTTCAGGAGGCCTGAAGTAGGGCCCCAGAGTGTGTACTTCTAACAGGTTCCCAGGTGATTTTGTCCCTGATACTGGTCTGGGGGCCACCCTTTGAGAGCCATTGGCTAGATTTCTAAAACAGTAACATTGTCAATATTAGATACTCTTTAGTTTCTAATGTTAATGCGTATTTGGTTTATATGATTTCATATTTTTTCTCATGTTTAGGAAAAAAATTTGTTTTGATCCTAGCCAGGAACTTATAACTTGTTTTAACAAAGCATATATGTTAAAATTTATTTCATCTATTAATGAGGGATTACAAAACTGGTTTTATAATTGAAGAGGCTAAGTATCTATAGATGGGTAGGTAGGTAGAAAGAATTGTTCTTTGGAATTGTACTTTCTTTTTTAACATTGTAAATTGATAATTTATAATTCTATAAATGTATGGGGTAAATGTGATGTTATAATTCATTAATATGATGTGGAGTAATTAAATCAAGATAATTAACATGTGTCACCTTGAATACTTAGAAAACATGTGACGTTTCATTGGGCAAAGCTGCTCTGTCTTAAAAATGAGGCCGGGCGCGGTGGCTCAAGCCTGTAATCCCAGCACTTTGGGAGGCCGAGGCGGGTGGATCACGAGGTCAAGAGATCGAGACCATCCTGGTCAACATGGT